GCTGTGTGGGTGGGGGGGGACATGAACTAAGTACTTCCACTTTTACCAGAGTATTTTTTAACACAAGTATCTGTACTTTTACTCAAGTACGGAAAGTGAGTACTTTTGCCATTTCTGTTTGCCTCACATTTGCAGCTCTTGTCTCATGCATATGGTGCCCGGGGGGTGGGGGCTGTGTGGGTGGGGGGGGACATGAACTAAGTACATGAAAGCACAGCAAAAGAAAAAAGAAGCGACTGCAAAACCAAAAATTATACTCATAAACACAGAAAAATAACACATAAACATACACAACATATGCAGCAGTTAAAGAGAAGTAAAAGCATCAAAGTACAAAACCACTGCAAACCCACTGATCACTGAATACTAGGGAGGCTAAACCTCCCCTGTGGACTTCATAAAATCATTGGTAAATGAATATTGGTAAAATATGCATTATCAAACTCAATTAAATATGCACCAAAATGCACCTGATTTCATGAGTATTTTGCATATTAATCAGCTGTTTAGTCTGCTGGCGGACGTGATCTCCCCTCGGCTCTGCTGCTCCAGTCTATAGTGGTGGTCTTTAGTAGGGTAATGCTGAATGGCAAACATACTTAAAGTCGTAGGGAAAGGGCTGTTCCAACCTTTGCATTTCCGTTTCACATTCACCTTATTCACTCGAGTAAAGTGGTGCCTGACTTTACACGACTGAATAAAGTGAATGTGATTGGTCAATTATCAAGGGGGCAGGATTGTTGTGGTGGAAGGTTCGCAAACAAGTTTGGTTGTGGCCGGTTTGTTGGAAGCATCTTGCTAACCAGTTAGCAACTTAGTGCTAGTAGGTTCCCAATGGGAAATAGCTCTACGCCTGCTGAAGACACAGACGTCCATCCCCGTGAACACTGGGACGGAACTCAATGGGAAAGTAAATTATTCTCATTTCAACCGTTGCGTATATTAGCTGCGACATGAATCAAGATGCTATGACCGAAAAAATGTTATTGACAGATGACTGTACAAGCTGACGTATAACTAACTGGCCTGCATAACATAATGAAAAAAAACCCCAGATTTTAAGACAGGTTCATTTTTAAAATAGAAATTTTTTAAGTTTTGGACAATATCGTCTGATAAAGAGCACATTTATATACATATTTAAGCCAGAATAATTTGACATTTAGATATGATTTCCCTACAACTTTAAGGATTTTTGATTGACAGTGGCCAGACAACAAGGTTTTTCTAATGAGTCGAGAGGAAAAAGTGATCATTTAGTCAGAACAGTTGAACTCTAGCCGCGATTTCTAGAGTTTTTTATTTCAGTCTTTCACAGCAGCTATTTTCACCTGCTGTAGTGATGTGATTTATGCGTTTCCTGATTAAGAGAGGAGCAACTGACACTGAAGAAAACACATAAATAAATAACATAAACATTCAAAACACATGAAAACTTCTGCAACTAACAAAAACAACTAGAGGGTAAAAAAAGCTGCAAACTAGCGGCGTATAACAGAGGAACTTGAGACCATGAAGCGGGGGCTATCATCAGTATACCAGATCCTTAGTAAAGACATAAACGTCGTCCAATGTATTACAAGTGTCCTGAGTGGGTAGCATCCAGAATTTACCTGAAACGAAGTAATTTAGAA